TTTATTTTTATGGGTCAGTTGAAATTTAATACAAAAACGAATACAGTGTTAGAATTCATCACTATAGAAAATAAAAACTATTATACTTCCAAAATTTAATGGTAAACTCTTAACACATTCTTTATTGAGTTCTGGCATATGTTGTCATAAAGCATTGTCTAAGGGCCTGCAAAGTTAAAATAGGAATATTAATTTCATGTTTACTTAGCAACTTGGAAAAAACACTGCTGAATTAAATGCAGACAATGTAAGTGGTTTAGTTAACAAATGCAGTTGAGAAATTAATCCTGAGGGACTGGGGAGATAGCTCAGCAAAATAAGGGCTTGTCTGGCAAGTGCAAAGTCCTGAGTTCAATCTCTGGTACTGAAAAATGAAAAAAAAAAAGAAAGAAAGTAAATCAAAGCTGAAACATGTATCCACCTCACATATAGCATTTTTGCACAATGTAGGTTTTTATATGTTAATTTTATTTAGAAAGAGATAGCAATGAGACAGTTTCAAAACAGGTTAGTAGGACAGTTACAATAATTAACACATTGCATATTGTTATCTTGGTAGTAGTTATTCATAGTACAAGATGCAGTCTTGATATCTTGTCTAAACACTATTTGTTGAAAACTTTCTTCACATTGAACTCAGAGAAAGTGGCTGTATATTTATGCTAACTATTTTGTATACACAAATATATGTACATATATTTGTTTTTCACTACAAAATGTTCCTAAATTTATATATCCCTTTTTTGTTTACTTTTTTAGAGATGGATATTCTATTGTCATTCAAATATTGTGGGTGCATGAATTCAGCAAAATAATCTACTGTAGTGCAGTAGTCCATAACAGTACTTTGTTATCTACAGAACTGGTAATGTCAGAAGTTGTTGACTTGAGGCTTTGACAGCTCAGCCTATTAATATGGCTTTATTTTTCATACTTAGTTTTTATACTTTTCTGCTGAATGGCTAGTACCAAGATAAAGCAAGGCTTATAAAACAAAAATGTAATTTTTATATCTGACAAGGATAGTCAAAGCATCTCAGGATTTACCCTGAAACCCTGTACAGCAGTTTGCACATCTTTTGTCAGTGTCAGCCATGTGAATGGGTCATGAACATTGCTTGACCAATCTGCTACGTGTAAAAGCCTTAAAGAAAGTTTCTCTCTAAATGACTGTCCTTAGGCACATTCTGCATCATTGATCACTTTCCTCTGTGGCCTCATAATCTGCTTGATCAGAAAATTTGGTACACCACTGAGTGACAAGATGTTACAGTACAGGTACTCTTATGTCCTCAGTCCTCACTGACTTTGAAGGGTTGGGTCCAAAATATTGGCTATCCTTGTAGCCTTTCTTTTTCTCTAATGTTTTTGTCTGCAAACTTATGTTGTTAACCCTCCTGAAGAGGTTAATGAAATTATTACCCTAAAATATAGGCTATAGAGGTTAATAGCAGTATCTGTCTGAGTATCAAATATCTTAGACATAATATGGAACAGTTATTTTCCAACAATCATTCATATGGCAAACTTTAAATCCACATTGAATGCGAAAAAAGTAAAAAATGAAAACATAAAAAATAAAGTTATACATTTTTACAATGTAATTTAGAAATCTAACCATATAAAACATTGTAGCAGGACAGTCCTTAGACATTTTTTTCTTGTCTCTTGTTTTCCTTTAATACCTTTTTTTCTTTTTTTTATTTTTTTTTATTTATTTGAGAGACAGAGAGAGAGAGAGAGACAGAGAGAGAGAGAGACAGAGAGAGAGAGAGAGAGTGAGTGTGTGTGGTGTGTGTGTGTGGCCAGCTCAGCCCACCAGGGGGCGGGACTGGCTGGCATGTGGTGCTGGGGGTTTGAACCGCGGTCCCTAATGCTTTGCCAAGCTTGTTCTAAGTAGGTGCTTTAGACCACTGAGCCATCTCTCCAGCCCCCTAATACCTTTTTTTCTAGAAAAATAAATATTTACTTGAGAAAGAGTATAGCATTGATCGATATGACATTAGAAGCAATACACTTTTAGAAAACCAAAATGACATGGAGTCATTCTAGTATTATATACTGCCATCTTCAGTGCAGTTGGTTATTTCACATGTTTTAATTTACATGTCACAGATGGCTAGTTATGTGGAGCACCTTTCATGCATTTATTAGCTTCTAGAATTTCTTCCTCTCATAAGTGTGTATTTATCTCAGACGCCTGTTTCCCTACCAGGTTTTAAAATTTTGATGCCCTAATGTTTTCTAGTTTTTGTATAAATTCTAGAGGAAGACTTTTGTCTGAGTGCTTATTAGTTAAGATTTTTTCCCAATTGAGGGTGGTCCTTCCACTCTGTTGGTATTTTCATTTGACATGGAAATCTTGTCAACAAGAGGAGGACAAAGTTGGTAATTCTTTGAAGTATTACTCATGCATTTTTATTTTTGTTCATGAAATGTTTTCTTATCCTTATGTCTTCAAGAGTTCCTCCTACTTTCTCTTGGAGATTTAGTGTTTCTGTTTTAATGTTTAGATATTTAATCCATGTTGACTTTAGTTTAGTGCATGGTCATAGACCTGGGTGAAGATTTAGTTTTTGGCATGTAGAGAGCCAGTTTTTCGAGCTTCATTTGTTGTTACTGGTTATTTCTTCCAGTAAGCATGCCTGGCCCCACAGTCAAAGATAAGGTGACTGAGTGTGTTTATACGTGTTTCTACATTTTCTAATCTATTCCACTATCTTCAGATCTATTTTTCCCAATATCATGCTGATTTATCACAGTGGCTTTGTAGTATAATTTCAAGTCAGTAATTGTAATGCCTGCTGTCCTGTTTTTGTTGCTCAAGATTGCCTTTGCTATTCTAGGTGTTTTCTGGTTCCAAATAAGTTTTAGGAATGATGTTTCTAAGTCTGTGATGTATGTTGGTGGGTGTTTGATAGGGAATGCATTAAATCTATACAACAATTTTGGGAGTATGACAATCTTCACAATGTTGGCTCTTCATATTCAGGAGCAGGGAATATTTTTCCATTTTCTGAAATCTTCTATGATCTCTTTTCAGAGTACTGTTACTTCCATTGAATAGAGCTTTTACTTTTCTAGTTACATTAATTTCTAAGTGTTTCATTTTTGAGGTGATATTGTAAAAAGTACTGTTTTTCTAATTTTCCTCTCAGTGTTTGTTATCAGTTTAACGGAATGCTATTGAATTTTGACCATCGACTGTGTATCCTGCTATGCTATTGAATTTGTGTAAGCTTTTTGTAGCTTCTTTGCGAAGATTTTTTGGTCTTCCAAGTATAGATAATGTCATTTGCAAATAACAAT